AAAGGCCTTGTGTCACAAGTGAAAGGAATCTGAAACACATCGAGGCTGATCATCGCTGATCGCTTTTAAATCCTGTTTCAATTTGTTTGGATTTGCAAAAGATGTCCCGAAAGTTTCTAGCTGAGAGTCTCTTGCAAAACATCATGAAGATTGCTGCGCCAGCCTTAGATTGGCAAAGAAGGCCTCCAATCTCAGGATAAGGGATGTTTTGGCACTTGATTTATTGGAGAAGCTCCGCTACCCAGGAGCAGACACTAGGGGACTGAGAGGACACTCTCTGTGTTGTTCAGCTTTGCATCTCACTGTACTGACATTCGGGGAGCGGTCTTCACCGTCTTCCATAGCAAGGGGCTGATGAAATGGCTCCAGACACCACCGAGACACCCATCTTCGTCACCTCGGGTCACAACTACACGTGGCAAATCAAGCACCAAAAGACAGGTGTGGCTTCAGAAGCTTTAGATGCTTTTGAATCTTCTAGGCTTTGTCAAAAAAGGAGAGGGCCGTCATTTAGAGATAACCCATGCGTTCTTTGAGAGATACATACATGCTTTGACCATTCCCATGTGAGGATGGCCGATTCCAGGAGTGGGGGGTGTGCCCCTCTCCATCCCCAACTGACTCCAATCAAAAGCTGCCATGACTGTGGCTTTTCTAGCACTACATGTACATGTGCCACATGATTGAATTGTCATAGTAGAGAAAAGCTGTGCTCGACTCATATGTTGTGCACCGTCTTCCAAGTCGCCATGAATTGCACACGATCCTCCTTCCTCTCGTCAGGGCATTCCAAGTATGCATCGCCTGATGTGCCATCTGAGTAGTATAGACAAAGTCTATTTCATGGCTACAAATCATCAGGATTTGGCGAGTCGACTTTTGTTTAGTCGGTCAAATAGATGCTAAAAGCATGCCGCTGGAAGACCCCACCACCACTCAGAGCAAGGTTCGCTACTAGTAACAAAGGGCATCGCTACTAGGGATAGCTCCTGGCATTACTAGGAGCAAGGACGCTACGAACGGGGCTCCTGGCCTTACGACTGAGCAAGAAGCTACTAGTAACAAAGGACGTTCACGAACTTTTGACCCGGATGGGACGCCGGACCCATCCGGACGGACCGGACGACCGGACCGGACGACCGGACGGACGGGTCGGTCGTGACCGGACCGACGCCTAGGTGGATGACATAGTCAACGGACAGGCCAATCACCATGACATAGATCACAGCTTCACTCACACTGGTCTTCCAGCCCATGCACACAGCAAAGGCTAGGACCGAGGACACCTGAGTCTACAGTACCCATGAGATGGGCTTTCGGACAGTAGAAATCAAGACTTGAGAGGCCAAATTCACCAAAGGCTCTCGCTCCAAAACGCAGACCCCTCATGAAAGAAAAGCAGACCATGCTCTAGGGATGAACCCACAAAAGTAGCAGGCTCCTCTGGACTTTGGACCTAGTCAATGTCTTGTCTTGGTGCCAAGCAGGTGCCAAGCTGCAATGGCTACGATGCAGGACACGGAAATGGCGGCCAGGATCACATTGCCCGTGGCAAACAGCAGCACCATAAAGGCCAAAAACCTCGTTTTGAACAGATCGGATCGGTGCAGGACCTGCGGGACCCCCCCCGTTACCGTGCAGGTAAGGGGCAAAGACAGCTTGATGCCATCAAAGACCTCATCGTTCATGGTCTCTTGAACATGGAACCAGTGGAAGGCAAACCTCAAACGGCAGCTGGAGCCATTGCTCCAGGGTTGCAAACATTGAGGGCTTCAAAAGTTCCAGAACGTTCGCAGAAACAAAAAAAAGAGGAAAGTGGCAGGGTCTGCCACAAAAAAAAATAGAAACATGGCCCTGTTGACCGGTCTACCATTTGGCAGGGTTCCAAAGCGCAAAGCAAAGCGGTTCAGCGAATCGTCGAGTTGGCTCCGTCTCGGATCGTGTGCTTTCTGCCGGTCGCGGCACATGTCGGTGGCAAAGATCGCCTTCGGCAGGTCTTTGAGGTTGGCCTTAGGTTTAGAGGCATCGGCGCATGTTCAGTTTAACCTGGGCAAGCACCAAGTAAACATTAAAAAAATAAAGAAACTACCATGGCATGGCAGGCAATGGTGCGTTTCGCAAGCGAAAACGATGGTGGTTAACCTGGGGGTAGTACCAAAGAACGAAGAAAAAAACTGGACGGGTGGTCACGGGCGGTTTGGGGTTGCTCGTGTCAGACCAGGCTCCAAATCTGCTTCCTTCTTCGCGAACTCATTGACAAACCTCTCGGCTCCACATCCGAGCAGAGTGTCGGGTGGATGATCTCCCCTTCCTCTCCAAAAGAAGGAGGGTCATCTTGGTCGTCTATCCAACCCCAAAGTGGGTTGCCCTACGCAAAGCTTCAAGCTGCTTTGGGGTTCACCCGCCTGTCCCAGTAGCCTTCCAGCTTGATTCCATCCTGAAAAGAGCGCGGTCGCCGACGGTCGCATGTCTGCTCACTTCGCAACAGAAGCACAGTCGCAGCCACCGGATGTCATCCTGCCAAGCTTCTCTAAATGGAATCTCCCAAGTGACCTTTAATGCCACCTCGATGACCAGTGCACGAAGCACCAGCACCCCATCCACACGATCAAAGAACACCTGGCCGCATGATTGACTTGGCTCTTACATTGGGGTGGAAACGTGGCTTCTCTGATGCTGAAAGCATCCTGCTGAACCCAACAACCAATGAGGATTGGTCAAATTCTGTAATTCTTCCCTGCAAAGCCATGCGATGACACGGGTGAGCGTAATCGTGTCCATTCGTAAGTACCCAAAACATTGACAACTGGGATTCCTTCGACATAATTTGGATTTGTTTGGTCTATAGTATCCGACCACTCCCACCACATCAACCTCTTTTCGTGACCCAAAGTCTGCAAGTTCCTGCCCTCGTTTTGTCTTCCAAAACGGAGGGGTGAACAACTCCCCACGGCCAGAATCAGCCAGAAAACCCGACCTCGTCTTGGAAATGTTCCATGTTTCGACTTCCAGCTTGATACATCCTGGGCAGACTGCGGTGCATGCGGTGCATGCCATGCCTGTCTCGTGGTGAATCTGTGACTGTCAGAAGTTGCTCCCAAATAGAAATGCAAACGACAAAAACCCTACGTGGTCTTGGCATCTATTTGAGGTCCCACCCTTCCCATGGCCATCAAGCAGCTTGTTGTGTGGTGGCATGGGAGCCTCCAGGAACTTTACAAAGTCGGAGTTTTTGTCGCAACAGAAGTTGCCTTGGATTCCCGGTGCAGTGATGTTGATAAAAGGCTTGCAAACTGAACCAACCGAGAAAGTACAGTGACCTGATTCGCAGAGTGGGCACAAGATGGGAAGGTTAGTAACTATAGATTCTCTATCTTACTCCATCTGTCTGTGATCTTAATCATCTTTGGATCTGTTGACGCCTTTTTTTGCAACTGAGCGTCCTGAGGGAAACTCCTACGATCCAACAATCATGTTCAACGGTGAAGAAAACGCCAAAAGAGTCGGTCAAAAGCCGCAGGCGAAGCAATGGTCGACTCTGAGTCAACATCCTACCAGTCAAGTGAATCCGTTTTCAAATCTCTCGCGGCTTTCAAATCCGCCCAACCAGCCCTGCTCCTTCCCATCCCCTATCTTGCTGGCGGCACTCATCGCCTCCTGAGTCCCGTCTCGCGGTCTTGTGTGAAGCTTGGGCCGGACTCTCATTTTCCCTAAGATTCCAGCTGTCCACTGCTTGAAGTCATGGATCACCTGAACAACGGCGAAGTCCCTGACCGGATAGGTCCGAGAAGTCCCCCCCAAACCCGGCAGCACCGAACGTTCGTTTTGGAGCCCCGAGAACGAACGTGAAAGGTATGGAGATGGACTCAGAAATGGTCAAAGGTGAAGACCTTTTGAGCCAGCTTTCAGCATGCAAGCGCTTAAATGGACTCATCTAGCATTCGCATAGCAAGACATCGATTCATCGAGTTGACGGCCACCTTGATTGAACTCTAACAAGCAACCTGGAAAGGTAGATGAACACTAGGGCAACTTTTGCAAAGAGATGTCAATGCTCTGCTTGAAGATCTTTCAAAAATGCTGGAGGCGCAATCTGTCAAATATGCATTACCAGCATCACACAACCCCTTTCCATGCACCCAGAAAAAATCAACGTTCCCCTTTTATGTAAGTGTGATGAAAAAGCCTGAATATACCAAACTAGACCACAGATTCCTGACTTCGTTCGCCTGACCAACTTTCGCCTCGCTCCTGATCTTGTGGAAATATGGCACCAAAACTGTTTCTGATAACTCAGACCCTGTGCATACTGGCTGAAGCGCTCTCACATTCAGTATTACGTTGGCGGAAGGTAGAGGCATGTGTTCAGACAGAAAGACACTCTCCCCGAAGGTGTGGTGTTCCCACACGGTTCCCATTCACCAGGTCAGTCACGCATTTCAGCGGCGGCATGCCACCCAAATCTGCTTCAGTGGCCAGCTGCAGGTAGCTGAAGTCACCTAGAGTTGGACTGGAATCTGGAAAGAAAGTAGAACAACTCGAGCAATCCAAGCCTTCATCTTCATCGCCAGACTCATCTGGTTCGCCGATCTCTTGAAGAAGGTCCTGGGAATGCTATTGGCACGGAAAACAGAGAGCAGCTAAGGCTTGTTGTTGCTACAAGAAAGATGCATGTTTTCTGGAACGAGCCAGCTTCCAGCTTTGCCAAGATGCACAAAGCCTCAACATCATGTCCTGCACACCTCGGCCGGCCATTAAATATCAATATCAACATGTTGCACGGGACAAACCTTTATATATATAGATGAGCCTAAAAAAACAAAGCACGCCTTAGCATGCCTTAGCCACATATATGTCACATATTACAAGTTCATCAACTCCAAGTTGCGGTGCTGTTGATCCTTCTTCTCATCGGTCCTTTCACCTGTCGAGTGGCTGCCGGCGCGCAGATCGGATTCCTCCCAGGATCGAAACCGAAAGTTGGGTCTCGGTCGGACCGGTCAGACCGGGACCGGTTTGTGACCCACCAGACTTTGAGCCACCAAACCCCCCGCGCCTAGGGTGGCAAAGAGATGCACGTAGTTCGGCTTCTGCCCAGCACAGTTGAAGAAGCAATCGTTGTAGTCGGGCGTGGTGCCGCGATCGATGGGATCATCCGCGTTGACGCCCAAATGGATACGAACTTTCAATCGGTAGGGATTGAATTTCTTTTCGTAGCGCTTGGACAGCACGGGCAGGAAACGCTCATAGTTGTCGTTGGAACTAAAGACTTGAGGCATTTTGAGATCCGGTGTGACATAGCTCGCTGTCCACATGCAAATCACTGCAAAGGTTGCAAAAATGCCCAGCAGTGGGAGCTTGAACGTTCTAACCTCAGCTACTTGGCCAGTGCACGGTCCGCCACTGCTGCAGAAGGCGCTTTCGGTCCAATCAGAAAAGGCCATGCAGGCCATGCAGGCCACGCTCTGGGCTCATGGCAAATGCAAAGAATGAATCATGAAACCACCTCAGATGAGAAGTCGAATATGGACTTGGGGGGTCTTGGTGATTTTGAGACAAAGTAGTACAAAAACAGGAAAGGCAAGCAGCTTCTCCATTGGGCGAAGTGAATCAGCGTCCTTGAAAGGCGTTCAACTGTAAAGCGGCCCTTTTGACGGTCTGAGCAGACTCAACTGACCGCGATGGATCATACATCTGAATCAAAGGGAGTCTTTGAAAGTGTTCTCTTTTCCTCATGTTTTTGGCCCACCCTGCCTCTTGCTGAGCCTCCACCTGGACCTTTGGTGGCATGGATTGGGCAGCTTTCCGCTTGACTCGCTCGCTGGCGCAAACCTTGAGTGCGCTTGACTCGCCAGCGAGCGAAGCATCATCCAAAACACGGGCGCAACCCGCATGGCCACATGTCGCATGGCCTTCGACTGAACTGAGCTTCGAATTGTACCTATCTAAAGGCTACCATTGCTACCATGTCCAATAGCGATGGCCTCTAACCCAAGAGCAATGGCCTCCAACCTAGTAGAACCTAGCGATGGCCTCTCCCTAGTAGCGATAGCGGAAGGTATTTACCAATTCTACCAATCGTAACGTTGCAATTTTTTGGGATCCTTGCACCGCCCCGCTTGCGGTTTGCTAAAACAGGGTGGGCAAAACAGGCCAGGAATGTGGCCCTATTCAAACGCGTCCAATTCGGGGCAAGTGGAAGCGTCAAGCACGATCGTCTATCTCGCAGCTTGCGCATCCTCTTGCCACCCTAGACATCATCGAAAGCGTGGACGTACGGACTGTCATGATAGGCACTTTGCACATGGCTCCGGCAACCACCAGAAAGGCCAAGTACACCACCGGAAAACTTACAGCACAGGTGGCTGCAATCTCCAGCGGGTATGCCACCATGCTACTTTACAAGGCTCCGCACGTAGCGCAGGCTCCCAATCCTTGCAAACTAAACTCCTGAGGTGTTCTGACTCAATTCCGACCACCCTTGCCCCTCCGGCGGAAGCGCAGGCACAAAGAGCCAGCTTCTTCCACAGTGTCCTGGCAGAAAGGTTTTCTGACCAATTCGTTCACTTCCATTCAATTTCCAGAAACCTGCAGGACACTAGGGAGCATAGGATCACCGGGATCAACATGAAAATGTTTGAAAACACTGAGCTTCTTTAGGAGCTGATCCTAGCTGACATGAACTCTTGCCAAGTTGATCTTTTCAATTCCATGCCTCAATAGGATCTTCCCACAGCTCGCAGCGAGGAGCATTGAAGGACACTCCACGACAACGATTATTCTCGCGACAACGTTCCTGACAGCCCTGGACATCTGCTTCTGAAACGATGCTCGTCTCGCCATCTCCCTGGCAAGCTCTGTCATTTCCATCGACCACTCGGAATCCACGGAGGAGTTGCACGGAGCTCGACGTGCTGCTTGAGCTCGTGGAGGTCGTCACACCCGTCGTGGAGGTGGTCGCAGATGTGGTCGTTGCGACGGTCGTGGTTTGCGTGGGTGAAGCTGTTGTCGTGGTCGCGGTGGTCGTCGTGGCCGCGGTGGTCGTTGTGGTCGTCGTAGCCGCGGTGGTCGTCGTGGTCGTTGTGGTCGTCGTGGCTGCGGTGGTCGTCGTGGTCGTTGTGGTCGTCGTGGTCGTTGTGGTCGTCGTGGCTGCGGTGGTCGTTGTGGTCGTTGTGGTCGTCGTGGCCGCGGTGGTCGTCGTGGTCGTTGTTGTGGTGCAAACTCCAAGTGGCTGGAGTTCACTGTGGCCATTCTCCGTGGCAATGAGCCATGCTGCCATGAAGCTCTGCAACCATGCCTCTTCATCAGATGCAAAGAGCAGAACTGCCTCGGCCGCCGGGCCGGTCGGGTCGTTGCGATTGCCACAGTCGTTCTGTTGATTTCCGCAACAACGGCCCCTCTCACCTCCACCAGGGTTGCCCCCACAATACACTCCTCCATTGTTGGCCACTGCTCCGGGAATGGTCGCAGAGGTCAACCAAGCACAACAATCATGCTCGGTGGCAATGACTGGGCCACCCGCAGGACCATTTTCGCTGTAGGCAAGGCAGAGATCCGTGTTCAGCATCATCTCATGGCCATCAAAGCTGGTGTCTCTCCCAACATCACTGCGCTCCCATTGATTTTTTCGCAGGATTGCCATTCACAGCCAATTCAGGAATCCAACCCTTAGCCAGCAAGGAGACGTAGTAATCGTTATTGAAGCGTCGCGAGTTCTCTGGATCACTCCACCATCCGTGATATCCTGAATTGCCCACTTGCGCACGGCCCAAAGTATGAACTCCCATCAGTGCAGCTGCCTCGGTCCAAGTCAAACCCATTCCATCCAGAAAGGTTTCTTCCACCGCATCGCAGCCCAGTTCGGGGTTGGGCAGGCGACCGGCAGCGAAGGTGCAGCTGGTGGCGGTGGTGCGGCCGAAGCGGAAGCGAGAACGGAAGTCCAGGGGCGAAGCTTGAGGGTTCGAGGCCAAGTGTCTTGCTCGAGTAGACGTCATCACTGCTTCAGCTGCGATCACCAGGAAGTCAGCCAGAGACACCTCTCTGCAGAACTGCTGGTACACATCCACCAATGCAAGACCATGCTCACCGGAAGAAAGGCATGCTGGCAAGCCTGCATTGTCTGGATCTGCCATGTCGGTGCAGGCATCTGAACCGCCTTGACCATTGGCAAAGTCCATAAAGTCATGTCCAGCCATGCGGAGAACGCAACCTGCCCAATCTGCCTGAGGACAGTTGGATGCCGTGCAGGTGGAATCCAAGGATTCGAGTTCGCCGCGCACAGCCGAGACAATGGAATCATAACCCTCCAATGTGAGGCATTCAGTGATGAGAGTTGCACCCGCATCGCAGCGCATCAATTCCGTCGGGGTGACATTCAGCAAAATGTCTTGCTGGCTGCGCTGCCCGCGCTTGCTGCGCTGCTTGGCATGCTGTAAGAGCCATGGGCCTTGAGTTTGAACGCACTTCTTCTCATCTACAGCACCAACCTCAAAGACCAGCCATGTTGCCAACAGCACTTCGGCCACTCTTGCCATCCGATACGGCCCAATTGTCAGAACAGTGCCTCTCAGGAGCCCTGGAACCAAAAATGGCTGTTGGTGCGAAAAGGTCGTGTTCCTTTCAACTCCTGTGCACCAACGAGAGAAGCACACTTGTCTTATCCTTTTCTCCAAGGGTTACATCTGAGAATCTGAGAATCCGACAATCGCAAGGAAAAATGTGAAGTCAATGCAAAAGTTGCTGATGATCAAGCTTGCCTTAGGTCTTGCCATGGTTCTTGGGCAGTGGCTAATGGCGCCTCGCGGAACATCCGTACCCTACTGGCTGCGGTGGATTGGATTTGATCAACAAAAACCCTGCCCATTGACTTCAGAGAATCCTCCTGGTCATCAACGTGGTCAACAGGTCCATCATGGTCGATCGCCCAATGGTCACGGTCGAGTGACACAGAAAAGCCCAAAGGTCCTGATGGATGCGAAACAGGATGAGGCGTTCCTGCGGTGGTCGCGCTTCGCCGGGGAAGCCGACACAGCAAAGCCGGGCGGAGCAGAGGAAGGTGCCAAGGGCGGAAAAAGAAAGAAATCCCCAAGAACAGATCCACCCCACTGGTTGACCAGAAAATATCCGCTTCTTCAGTGTGTGCTGCTGCTTTAATAAAACCAAGATGCGAGAAAAATGCAAAGAAAGTCGTCAGTGATGTGCACCTCAACGGGGATTGAAACATGTCCAAAGCAATAAACATCTACCCAATCTTTTTCTTTTACCTAGTCCGGACTCTACCCAACAAGTGATTCTTCCCCTATTGGCACTTGGCAAGGCGCCGAATCTATATAAGTCTTCCTTGATTAACCTGACAAAAACTGTACACCACCCACCCAGGTGTGCACCCCACACCTCCCACTGATGGACTGATTTCACGAAACAAAAAAAACAACGACGGCCCCGCCGGGTCCAACTCGCGACGAGATGCAAACATGCTTTGGATGCATGGTGGACAGCTGGCGACATTACTGCACCTCTGCTTCGCACAGGGCCGGTGAAAACTCCAACCGCAATACGGTTCTCTGTCACCCAAAAGCAGAAAAGGAGGCAATCAAGAATCAAACAGCTTTGGTATCGAAGAAGTTTCTCTCGAACGACAAGTCATCCAAAAGCCCATCCTTCCCGCCAAGCTTCTAAAATCTGTGCGCCGGCCCTCTGCTTCAGCCTCTGCCTTCTCTTGTCCATAGGCATCCTTCATGTGGAGGTCAGGCCAGTTTGGAACTCAAACTGACAGAGTCAAGAGACTGTTGTTGGCTTGCAGCTATGTTCCTTCATGAACCCGAATTGCGGCTTTAGTCAAAGGTATTTGAGTCACAGCAGCTTTGACTGATGACAGACGGTCACACAGTGGCAACACACCGTCCATGATGACGAAGGCATCATCCACTCCAACACCGAGGATAATGAAGAGTCCGTTCATGTGCAGCAGTCCTCAGCAAAGGACCCTTTCTGTGAAGAGAGGTGAGCTGGGACACCGGACCTGGACCTGGCTGGCCTTGAAAACATTGAACATCTGAAATCAAAGACTCAGCCAAACACCCATGTATCTCTGTTGAAACACCAAGGTGTAAAGCCTGAGATGTAAACTGCAAGCTCAGCAGTGGAGGATTCATATGCCACAACTGCAATCGCAACTTAGTTCTACTGCCGCATCCAAACTCGATGACAACCACATGACGACCAAAAGAGTACGGCCGGTAGGGAACAGTTCCACAGTTCCACCTTTGAACACCTTTGCCTTGTGATGAGTCGATCGTACAAATGCATCATGTCATCGTGCGAAAGTCATTTAGACTTGTTGCCATCAAGCAGCAACAAAGCCGGCCCAAAGGAGAAGACGATCATCGCAATGATCTCGGCAGAAAGTTTCTCAACATGAACACCAAGCAAGCTGACGGACAACATCAGCGCTTCGCGCTCAGCGCTTCGCGCTCAAAGCGCTAAACGCTTCTTTCCAAAGCACGCAAAGACCCAAGAAGATGGAGCCGGTGGTGTAGGAGATGTATGTCAACATAAACATGATCGATGCCGTAATCCAGACCCCATCGCGCGGAATGTTGTAAGCAATATACCTTTCTGGGGCGCATGGCTCGCCCCAAGCCGTGTGTCATTCGAAAAGAATGTAAGCCATGAAAGCCATGCAGACAAGGAACTGCTTTAGAAGTGGACTTCCATTTTGTAGACTGTTTGCATCAAAAATGATCCTTGGATCACATCACAGACGCGCAGGCCGCAGGGCAGAAGTCGGAAAAGGCACTCGCACTTGCACCGGATCTTTGGGGCCAAGCCACCTGAAGCCTCAGACGAACGCAGAGCGCATCGCTGATCACAAGCCGCGAACGACGCGAACTCCGCGGGCCTTCGGCGTCGCGGTTTTCTTTGATCAGCATGTCATTGTAGGTATTGAAAATCCACTCCATAATGTAGTCAGAGGCCTCCAAGCATGTCGCATCACATGAAGCTGAAGGTGTTCAAAGTGCCCACCAGGACTGCAGCACAGCTGTAGTCAGTACACGAAAGTCCTGGGTCCGTCCGTCCTGATTCCCACCTCGCTACGGCCCTGATCAGCTGCAAGCCCAGACCAATCAGGATTCACATTCCTCCAAACGACGAGAGCACTGGGGAACAGTGCTCAAGGGGGGAAGGAATATCGGTGGACTCTCAGAGTGCCGAACGGGAAGCCTCAGAGGAAAGCCGAAGAAGAAGAGGCTGTGCATGGACTTGACCTTGCCAAACTGACAAAACATCCATTCGCGTGTAGAGTTCGCAAGGAGCCGACAGCCAAAACGACATGTGTCAGTCAAAACGTTGGGAATAAACACGCAAACAAAAGCTGTTCGGCCTGTGTATTGCGCTGCATACAAACGCCATCCACACGACTTTCGCAGGTCCCTGCATCATCATCACCCACCCTCAGGTGTCGGACGTTTTTTTCCAAATTGCAGGGCCGGTCGGGTGTCTGGTCACGACAAGCAAAAGTGCAAGCGCCCACTCTTCCAAGCCACACGGAGAAGAGGTTTGGAAACTTCTTTGGTAGAAGAAAGAGCTGCTCCTCACAAAATCGCCGCTACTAGGTTGGAGGCCATCGCTAGTAGGTTGGAGGCCATCGCTAGTAGGTTGGAGGCCATCGCTAGTAGGTTGGAGGCCATCGCTAGTAGGTTGGAGGCCATCGCTAGTAGGTTGGAGGCCATCGCTAGTAGGCTGGAGGCCATCGCTATTAGCAGGTTGGGGGCCATCGCTAGTAGGTTGGAGGCCATCGCTAGTAGGCTGGAGGCCATCGCTATTAGCAGGTTGGGGGCCATCGCTAGTAGGTTGGAGGATAGTAGGCTGGAGGCCATCGCTATTAGCAGGTTGGGGGGCCATCGCTAGTAGGTTGGAGGATAGTAGGCTGGAGGCCATCGCTATTAGCAGGTTGGGGGCCATCGCTAGTAGGTTGGAGGCCATCGCTACTAGGCTGGAGGCCATCGCTATTAGCAGGTTGGGGGCCATCGCTAGTAGGTTGGAGGCCATCGCTAGTAGGTTGGAGGCCATGGCTCCATCGCTAGTAGGTTGGAGGCCATCGCTAGTAGGTTGGAGGCCATC